GTCCTCTGCAGCACACTTTTTCAACAGTTACCGGCTTTTCGGAGAGTTTCTGCGACAGCCCCTTTTGGGCTTTTTTTACATGTCCGGAGCACATAGGATGAGCCAGTGGCGTTGAACTATAAGACCTTGGGAAAGTTCATTTTTGCTGCATGTCTGTATACCGTGGAAGAAGGATGGTGACAATTTTGCAAATAGAACTTTCGCTCTGCACGAGGCATACATGAAATTATGCAAGAACGCGTATAAGTTATTGCAGGACGAGAAATTTTATCGCCTGACGGTTCTCACCAGTTTCGCATAGTGGTTGTTACGGATCTGGACAAGAATAGTTTGCATTCGACGAAAAAATATCACTGGCAGAGCTACATGAAAGAGGGTGTCTTGACGCTGAATAACGATTACACTCACGCATCCGTTCTTTGGGATGATAAAACAGAGGTAGAACCTGTTCTTTGACGCAGCCTTCTTGAGAATTCTGTAAGCAAAGTACTGGCCGACAGTGTGCGCTGTGACTCGAGCTACGGCAATGCGTCGGCAGCCGAAATGTGAGGAACTCTAGGAATTTCAGTGGCCATAGAATCTCGTCACGAAACGACCTGAAGCCCTCTATGCAGCTACTGCTGTAAGTCTCTGGCAGGGTATGAGCCTACGGACCATATCCGGGAACACGGTCCTCTTATTCGTGTTGCCATTGTTGCGTAGCCCTCATATTAGTGCACTGCTAGCGATAATAAACATGTGTATATCTAATGGCCCTCCTACGATTATTCGGAGCCTGTTTTGCAGATTTCACTTTATTCTACATTTGCTGCTGGTGGGCGGTCAATGGAACTTTCAGACCTGGTTGTTTTCGATGGTAGATTGTTATCCGTTGATGACCGAACGGGTATTTTATACAGAATTGAACAGGGAGTCGCTTATCCTTGGGTAATTTAAAATTTCATTTATTTCTTGATTCAAACTAGCAGAAAATAGGCGACATGTTTCTTGCTCCCGGACAACATTATCTGTAGCCATATTGTTTAAAGGGGAAAAGTTTTTTTGCTTTAGGGAAGCGCCGATATTACCTATATAAAAGAAAAGAAGAAGAGGAACTGAAAAAAAGACCATTCCCAAAGGCAAATATTTTCACAGTCAAAAATCCCCTCAGCATTCACTCTGTGTGAAAGACAGAGGTATTTGAAAGTAAGCCGATTAGTGCCAGGTGCTAGTAGCCACTCTCCAACCAAGCTGTTGGTATTCGGTTCGAGGTTTGATTGGACTTAAATTAACCCATGCGCAATAATTGGGCATCTTTGGGTTTTGCTCGGTTGTTTTCAGGTTTACGTAAGTGATGGAGACGGCAGCACAGCAAAAGGCTTTAAAGGCGAATGGATGACAGTGAAAGATGACGACCTGTGGGTTGGTGGGCTTGGAAAAGAGTGGACAACCACTGAAGGCGTATTTGTCAATTTTAACCCAATGTGGGTTAAGGTTTGTACTGACTTACTGGACTTAAGT